TTAATGCTATTTTAGTCCCTGAAATTGATTTCTTTTTTGTTTTAGTTTCTAAAATTTAAAGCCAGTGGTTTTATTTTTGAAATTTAATTTCATTTTTATTCATCTAAAGATTTTTAGTCCTTAAAATAGTATTTTTGGTCTGAGACAAGATGTCAAGAACCAAAATTATTAGTTTCAAATTTTAGGGACTAAAATTAAAATTAAGTAAAATTTTAGGGGTTATTAATTAACCTTAGAATTAATTATTAGTATTCCTTTTACAGTAGGATTTTATACAAATGAAAAAGAACAAGGTATAAAAATATAAGTAATAATATGTAAATAAATTGTATTATATTGGGTTAAAACATTTTTTCTATCTTTGATTTTGCCTACCCTGAGAAGTAAGACACTAAGACATGTGGATATGTGATGAGACGTAGGTTTGATATCTGGAGTGAAACTTTATTTGATGTTTATAAAGTATTTAAAATCATGAGTAACATCATTTTTTATATAAAGTTTATTTTATTTTTGACCATGACAAGATATAAAGTTTATAGACTTTTGTTTATGGCATAAATAAGGAGTCAATCAAAAGTGTTATTTTTATATTGTCGTGGACTTGTTTTAAAAGGATGATGAAAAAGTGTAGTAATTTACTTGTAAAATATAAGATCCCTTTTTCCCAATTCAATCACTTAATATTCGTATGTGCTCAGGCCAAAAAAAAAAAATCGTATGTGCAGAATCAATTTGACTTGGCATATCTAAATGAAGATAGATATGGCACAAATTATAAGTAAGAAATTAAAATAAAATATTTATTGAGAAGATATATAAAAATTGATCAATTAATTAATTAAGAAATTAAATTAAAAGCGTGGCTAAACCCAATAAAATAACAAGAAACGTACCAGGGATGAGATAGAACCTTACCTTTGTCCAATCCATAAAGAAAATCTGCAAGGAAATTTTAGGAGTGTCAACAACGGTAGTGATTGAATACAAAATAAGTATCTAGTTGTATCTTGTTTTCCTTTAAAATTTATAGGCCGGATCAAGGGAAAAAAAAGGACTGGACTGGCCAGTTCAACTGGAAAACTGATGAACTGGTCTGCAGTCTAGTCTGGTTTAATTGTTGGACCGGTGGTTTGACGAACCGGTAAAACCGGTATTAAACTAGGTAACCCGGTTCAGTGGGTTGCCTAGTTTATTTTTTTTGGCTAGCCAGACTGCTCAAAACGATCCCGTTTTATTTTTTTAAAAAAACTTCTTTAGTCTTGGTTCTTCCCTTTCGGCTTACCTAGTCCAGGGGTGTTTACCTAGTCCAGTGGTGTTAAGTCCCCTAATCCTTGCTCCCTCCTAGCCTTCCCTGACTCCCCTGTACTCATGCAACTGTCCTCCCTTCCTCAAACCAAAATCACGATTGCCTCCTCCAAATCGGTCACCACCTCCTGCTTCGCCTTCACCACTCCCATTGTAGAAGGTAGAACCAAATGTCTAAGGCTCTGAACTCGCAAGTCTCTCGCCCCTGGCATTCGCAGTTTGCAGAAGGCAGAAGTAGAATCAAAAGTCACAGGACTCCCTCAAATCACAGTCGACATTGTCCCTTCGCCCTTCGGTGCATCGAGTTTTGGGTAAGCTAGAAATTGTTCCCTTTCAGGTAGATTGTGTTTTTTTGGATTAAAGAGGTGCCTTAGCTCCTTCTTTCTCTCTGGCTGTCGAACAGTTTGGGAAGGGAGGAGTCAGGAGATGAAAATTTTATTTTGATCTCTGAACACTTGAAGTAGGAGGGGAAAGTAGTTGATGATTTTTTTTTTGTTTTGCTGAAATAATATAGATTTTGTTTCATTGGATTGAATTGAATTGAATTGATTCTGGATATAAAAATTATTGTGTCTATGATATCCTATCTTGAAAGGTGAATTTTATAGGTCTGAAGATAATTTGATCTTTATGAGAGTAATTTTTTTATTTGAAAATTCCAGATTATATCCATTGATACATACGGTATATGGTGAAATTGAATTATATTATTTTAGTTATATTATTTTAATATGACTGGTCCGACCAGTAACCCTTGACCTAGTGCCTCAACTGATTTAATTCCTAGTCCGGTTTTTTGTTCCTTGGGCTGGCTATGTTACGGAAAGTGATATATAACCTTTTATATGATAATAGCAAATAATTAAATTAATCAATTTTTTTATATATGTGAAAAAGCTCATTAATTACCTTCTGCCAATATGCGCCACTTTGATAAATGACCCGCAATACTCAGAAATATTAAAAATTAAAAACCGCAAATATAATGTCATCGTGTTGAATATGGAAATCTCAATTGAGAAAAAACTAATTTTTTTTCATTAATCATTGATTAATTTTAGCGGGGAAAAAGTTTTGTTTCATTTAAGCCAAGAAAACTGTGAAAACAAATCTGAATTAAGTAAGATGTACTACTATTGAGTAAATGGTGGGTGTTTCTTAATATAAATATAAGTTTAATATTTAATTTAGTTCTAAGTCAAAGATCTTAATCTATTTTTTATTTCATATTTATTTTTAAAAAATATTTTTTAATAGTTATACATGTTAAAAATTTCATCAAATAATAGTTATAATTAATAAATGATTAGTAAAGATATTCTAAAAAGATAACATTTCTTTAGTATAAATAATTAATTTAACAAATATTTGTAATCTATTCACATTAGTTAACTTACTCTTATATTAAAAACACGGAAGTAGTAATTATTAACTCAAATAAAATAATATATTTAATTTAAACCAGAAACGGAAAAATATATTTAATTTAATTTTTCCGACCTCACCCCTGTATGAATATTCTCTCACCTCAATAATGAAACAAAATCACAAGTTCACAACACACACACTCCTCCGTTGGAAAATTGTCACATTATATATATAATTCCTTTATAACAATAAATTAAATTTCTTATTTTTAATAATTTTATTTTCAGTATTTTTTTTAAATGGCCACATTATACATATAATTTTTCTAATAATAAATTAAATTTATTTACTTTAATAATTTGATTTTCCTTCTTAAAAAATAGTCACATTATATATATATATCTAATATTAGATATATACTATTTAATAAATTCATGTCCTTTTGAATCATTTTATATCCAAACTTACTTTTATATTTATCATCCAAAACAAGTTTCAGCTTCTCAAACTGACTGTTTTTCAAATCCAATCCAAATATAAATCAAATTACCCTATCTGACTTCTATCCAATCTAACTTCTGTAAAAGTCAGATTGAAAAAAAAAATTACTTCTTCACCGCTAATCCAAACACATCCTAATACACCTACTGGGAAACGCAACGCATCTGAGACTTGTTGTTTTTGGGGCCAAAGAGCATTTACGATCACTTGGGCATTTAAAATCAACACAAGCTCTTCGCCACCATGAAAGCTCAAATCCAGAGGAAAGTACTGTGTGAATATCAACGTAGGACTTGTTTCTTCGATCTCCCATTGACTCCCAATCTGAGGCTATAGGGGCTACCGATTTCACACGACACTGAGATTTTAACTGGTAAGCCGGTAAATCTCTGGCCACGGCATAAACATGGCTACCTCTTTCCCAATTCACGCAGGTAGCTGTGTCCAGGTACGCCGCGTCGTCCCTCACTGGACCTCTGCACTTCAGGTACACTGCGTGCTTGAATGTAAATTGTTTGTACGTCGAACAGCGTCGTAAGGTTGACGGCGATGAGTGTCAGTGAAATTGGATAGGGATAAGAAATAGAGAGGGAGGGAAGAGCAATTTCCCTCCTGGATTCCAGGATCTACGAGTCGGATTGTGAGGTTGCTGTGGTCGATTCCTAGCACTCTGTATGTTGTTGAATTCAGATGAAGTAGAGTGATGTCGTTTTCACAGGCTAGCTCGTAGATTGGATCGCCACAGCCGGGCGGGTCATCTCTTAGTCGAAATGGGTGTCTGATGTTTGTGATAATGCCGCACCGAGATGGAGCACAGGACTTGCTCTGTTCTTGGGAGCTTGCAAGTCCATGCGTTAGAAGCAGTGTAAGCAACACTAAGTCCCACCGCCTTAAGCCTTTGTCTCTCTCCATCGTTCACAATGATGTGCAGTTGTTGATTCTAAGCTTTGTTGTTCAATAAATTCCTTTTCTTCTATGTAATAAACACAGCTCCTTGTCATTTTTCCTTTATTTCTTATCCACGCGGCCAACTTGTGTTTTTCTTTTTCCAAAGTTGACTTCACTTTCTGACTAATGACTTGTCTTTACATCTCTCTTGGTCACTATGAATATTGACTAACTGCTAGAGTAGTTTCCCCCCGTTTTCCTGTACATTAGGAAATACAAATTAAATAATTTCTTATCTGAAAGTTCTAAAGAGATTGATAATTAAGTGAAGAAAAAGAACGAATTTGATCAATCCAAAACTTCTAATTACTTAAGTAGCACCATAGACCACGGCTAACAATTTTGGTCAATTCAAAGGTTTTACTTAAGTCGTATCGTAAACCATGGGCCAATTTTAGTCAATTTTGATCAATTCAAAGCTTTTACTTAAATAGCATCATAGATCACGATGGACAATTTTGATCAGTTATACTCAATTCAAAACTTGAGTAGTATTGTAGTCCACATGCCATGGCAAATAATTTCAGTAAACTCTAATCAATTTAACACGTTTATTTAAATAGCACCATAAACCACGACAAACAATTTTGGTCATCTATGATCAATACAAAAATTTTACTTAAGCAGCACCATAGACCATGGCTAACAATTTCAAAGAACTGTAATCAATTCAAAGCTTTTACTTAAGTAGCATCGTAAACCACAAGCCATGGCAAACAATTTTGGTCAATTCTGATTAATCCAAAGCCTTTCTTAAATAGTGCCAAGGTTCATGGTAAACAATTTTGATCAACTCTAGTCAATACAAAGCTTTTCCTTAACTAACACCATAAACCAATGCAAACAATTTTGGTCAAATATGATCAATCCAAAGTTTTTTACTTTAGTAGCATCACAGACCACGACAACAATTTTAACCCAAAGTGCACTTCCAAGTCAATTCCTTCTTCTCCTTGCTTTCATTCTAAATGAAATATATGTCGTGTCACCTAACATATATTGGTATCCCAATCCAACTTTCATGCACAACTCGGAAAAGAAAATATTTCCTTACCATGTTTTGCTATCGCAGATTTTTGTTGTTGGTGATATTCCAGCTATCAATGTTCCTTGTGAAACAAGGGAATAGTCTGAACCAGCGTGTGCCTAATTATAAAACTGTTCCATTCCATCTCTTTGACCATGGCAGGATGGTTGAGTTCCCGTCCATCCCTGCTCTTGAAGGAGTAAGTCTTCGCGTCTATGACAGAGACTATAAATCCCACATCTTACACACAGAGGATCCAGAAGGTTGTCTTCCCAAACTCTTTCTACAACATCGTCTCTACAATTCATCCATTTATCCTTTAGAGTTTTATGATATGACCAAAGAAAATGTTACTTTCTTCAATTGTTCTTCACTTGGGTCGAGATACCTTAGACACGAACACCTTTCCAATTCATCTGCACAAGATATGGTTGTCTGCCCAATTTATGCTATTTCCTCCGAAGATAGTATCCTGGAGTGGGACCTTGCTTTCTGCACCAAGATGTTTCAGGTAGTTTCTCCGATTTCCGCAATGTGCCTTCAAAGAAATGTCTTGCAAATCAAATTTCCACAACCAAATTCTGATATTGAAAAGGGCAAAACCAGGAAGATTCTTGGAATTGTTTTCCCAGGTGCTTGTGACAATCATCGACTTTGCTTTTCCTCTTTTGCTCTTTTTTCCCCCTCTCAACTTGGCTTTTGGTTTGTTCCTTTGATTGAAATTGGATGTTTAATTTACATGCTTTTGTAACTCCAGGTTCAATTCTATTGGCGTTGGTGTTCATTGCGTGCTTTTACATATATCTCTATTTCAAAGAAAAAGGAGATGATCAAGTGAGATTGGAAAAGTTTTTGGAGGATTACAAGGTACATAAACCTACTAGATTTTCTTATGCTGACCTGAAAAGAATCACAAATCATTTCAAGTATAAATTAGGTGAAGGAGCTCATGGAGAAGTGTTTAAAGGTAAGTTATCTACCGAAATCCAAGTGGCAGTGAAAGTAATCAATAATTCAGATAGCGATGGGCAAGAGGTCATCAATGAAGTGGGGACTATGGGCAAAATTCATCACATCAATGTTGTTCGTTTGCTAGGCTTTTGTGCTGATGGTTTTCATCGTGCTCTTGTTTATGACTTCTTTCCAAATGGTTCCCTTCAGAAGTTCATAACTTCGCCAGACAACAAGGAAAATTTCCTTGGATGGTTGAAATTGCAACAATTAGCCCTTTCCATAGCTCAAGGGATTGAATATCTTCATCAAGGTTGTGATTACCGAATTCTTCACTTTGACATCAATCCTCGTAATGTGCTGTTAGATCACAATTTTACTCCAAAAATTTCTGATTTTGGCCTAGCTAAATTGTGTTCTAAAAATCAAAGTACAATATCAATAACAGCAGGTAAAGGAACTTTGGGTTATATTGCCCCTGAAATATTCTCTCGAAACTTTGGAAAGGTGTCATATAAAGCAGATATTTACAGTTATGGAATACTGCTACTAGAAATGGTTGGTGGAAGGAAAAATGTTGACACTAATCCAGAAACCTTACAAGTGTTATACCCAGATTGGATCCATAGTTTGATGGAAGGAGGTGATATAAGTATCCATATGGAAGATGAAGATGACATTAAGATTGCGAGAAAACTAGCAATTGTGGGACTTTGGTGCATTCAATGGCATCCAGCAAATCGTCCTTCCATGAAGACCATTATTCAAATGCTAGACGGAGAGGTTGATAAATTAAAGGTGCCTCCTACTCCATTTGACTTTGCCACTTCAACTAATATGAGTACCATTATTCCTACGAGACATTTGAATTTAGAGTTAGAAGTGGTTCATGAATTCGAATAAATACTTGAGTGTGTATGAATACATGTAATTTTTACTTTTATTGAGAGTATTTTGTGAGGCTTGTAATATTATTTTCATGTTTATCCATAGATTAAATCAATTATTATCTATTTCCGTTCCATGTCCAAATTGATGCTTTCTATTTAGGATCACTTTCTGTCTTTAATATAAGAATGAATTGACTCATTTAAGTAAATTAAGAAAATTAGATAAATAAGTTATTTACTACCTCAAATCCTATTTATAAGACATTATTTTACAAATGAGGTTTTATAAGTAGAATTAGAAGTAATATAATAAAAAAGTATTGTATTCCCTAAAATACCCATGTTAATCATATGTATTAGTTAAAACTATCATTTGATAAAATATTTAACATGTGCAACTATTACAATGACTACCTTAAGAAAAATTGATAAATATAAGAGACAAAGTGTATTGGTATCTTATATTTAAGACCAATTTAAATGTCAAACTAATTCTTATATTAAGGATTAGAGGTAGTATGTTTATTACGTAGAACATTTTGTTATATTAATGTCATGGATATTAATAAAAGGGTTAAGGTTCATCTAGTAGCTAGAAAATTATTTTAAAATATATTTAGCATCGTAAAATAATTTATGATGTAGTTTGACTTATGAAATTTTAAAAGTGGAGCACTTGTTATTTCCTGTTATATGTCAAGAAAAAACATATTATTAATCTCAAGTTTAGACTTGTCATTTCCAAATAAATTATTATCATTTTTAATTAATGCACCGGTTATTTCCTGTTATATATCAGGAAAAAAACACATTGTTAATTTTAAGTTTAGACTTGTCATTTTCTAATCAAGACATGTAATTTCTAAATAAATTATTATAATTTTTAATTAATGTACATGCTATTTTTTGTTATGTATCAGGAAAAGTTGTTTTGTTAATATCAAATTTAGACTTGTTATTTTTTAATTAAGACCTGTCATTCCTAGATAAATTATTGTTATTGGCTGGAGTCACAATAAAAGAGTCAAGTTATATTTTGGTTTGCATCATAGGGTTAATAAATCTTTGATGGTCCAATGGTTTTTTTTTTTTGTTGGCCCAAATAACCAAGAGGTAGTGAGATCAAATCCTACTCCCACCACTTTCTTGAAATATTATCACATGGCTAAAAAAAATTTGTGACGAAAAAAAATTCACCAGCAGCCACCACATCAGTGCCGACGGGTTGCAGTGGCTGCTACTAGTGAGGGGCTGAACCTTTTTTTAAAAAAAAAAAATATAAAAGGGATTTTTGTCATTTTAATAAATTTTAAGATTTCAATTTGAGAAAGTCTTTCCTCTCTGTCATTAGAAATCCTTAGCTTCCCAAATTGGGATATCATATATTCAGCCTTTTTTATTTGTCATTTTCCCTTCGCAATTTAAAAAAATATTTTTAGTTATTTAACTGCGCTCATCCAATATCATGATTTTTTTTACACTTTACACAGGACGGAAATCACCAGATTCCAATTCCATTTATTTATATTTATTGTTGAAAGTTAATACCTGCTATCCTTAATATAACACTCATTTAACTAATTTAGAGAGATTAAAAAAATTAAATAAATGACTTCAAAACAACATATTTATCATGATTCTCTAAACTAATTTGCTTCACTTATAAACTGATATATAAATTAATAATACACATAAATATTTTAGAAAAATTATGTAACATGTGCTATAATTAAGTAATTTTTTAGTTTTCTTAATTTTCTCAAATTAATCAATTAAGTGTTTTATGTTAAGGAGATCTTTTCCCTCATTTTTATCTCGACTTACAAGCGACTCTGATGAGCGTATTTAAGGGAGAAAAGTTTTCAACCAAATATCACTGTCACGTGGAAAATTAGAGACACTTGTTTAACGTTTTAGTCTTCTCAAGGTACTGATAAAAATTTTAAATATTTTGTCTTTCTAATTTAATTCCCAACTTATTTTGTAGGTCTAGATGTCTCTTTCCTTGAGGGATGACTGTTCTAGCCACGACTTGGAAAACTCGGGCATATTATTTCCATTGTCGTTATCAAGTCTCAGATTCTTGTGACCCCTAGTTTTACGAATATTATGGTCCCTTTGTAACTTATATACTCCCCCCTTGCAATATATAAAAACCAGTTAAGGAATTAGTTTTGATCTTATGTTATTTTATGTTATGTATAAGGAAAAGACACATTATTAATCTTAAGTTTAGACTTATTATTTTTTAATAAAGACGTGTTATTTTTAAATAAATTATTGTCATTTTTAATTAATGCAAATGTTATTTCCTGTTAAGTATTAGGAAAAGACACATCGTTAATCTCTAGTTTAGATTTGTCATTTTTCAGTAAAGATAAGTCATTTTCAAATAAATTATTATTATTTTTAATTAATATATATGCTATTTCTTATTATGTATTAGGAAAAGTTACTTTGTTAATAACAAATTTAAACTTGTTATTTCTCAATTAAGGGGGTGTTTGGATAAAACCAAACCATGGTTTGGAGAATAGCTTCTGGAGAATAGATTCTGTGAAGAATAGATTTTGTAAAAAAGTGATTCTGAGAAGTGAGAGTATTTGGATAGTTGTTACTAGAAGCACTTTTTACATGTCCAAATTACTAAAAAGGGCATAAGTTAATATGATAATTATATAAGGGATAGATATTATAATATATTTTAATTTGAAGGAATAAAATTGTTAATAAAATAATTTTTACTAACATAATTAATAATATATAAGATAATATAATTAATAATTAATATGTGTATATATATTTATAAATTATAAGATTAAATATGTTTATAAAAAAATGATTATTTTTTAACAGAAAAATATTAATTTGCTTTAAATATTTTCTGGTAAAAAAAAAGCTAAAAAAACAATAAATAACAACGTACTACCTCTTGTTTGGTCCAAAAAAAAAAACAATATGCTCCCTCGAACAGTGAAGGACTGAAAACCAAATACTATCTTTGAACAGTGAAGGACCGAAGACAATATACTGCCTCTCAACAACGAAGGAGCGAAGGGTATATATGTCTGGTTAAAATCCTTCTCCCTAAAACCAGCTGACACTCTCCCATTTTTTTTCCAGAAGCAAATGCAAAAAGTTTCTCACAGAACCATGGTTTTTGGACCAAAACCATGGTTTTGACCCAAAACCATGGTTATTGATTTTTCATGGGTGTTTGGACAAATTTTTCCCAAACCATGATTTGGGATGATACCCAAACACCCCCTAAGACTTATCAACCCTAGATAAATTGTTATCATAAGCTGGAGTCATAGTAGAAAAGTCAATTTATATTTTTGTTTGCATTACAAAGTTAATAAGTTTTTGATTACCCAATGGTCATTCTTTTTTGTTGGCCCAAATGACCAATAGGTAATGGGATCAAATCATACCCTCACCACTTTCTTGCAATATTCTTATATGGCCAAATGACGGCACCCGGTGACGTTGGCCAGCCACCAGTGAGGGTTGAGCCTTTTTTTAAAAAAAAAAGATAAAAGGTATTTTTGTCATTTCATTGAATTTCAAAATTTTAATTTGAGAAGAATTTTCCTCTCTGTCCTTGAATATCCTTAGCTTTCCAAATTGAAAATTATATATTCCACCTTCTTTATCTGTCATTCTCCTTTTTTTTTTTACAGCTACAAAATTAAATGACTAAAAATATACTTTTAAAAAGTTAAAGAACCAAAGTTAAGGTATACTTTAGTCTATTCCAAGATGTAGGCCTCTGTAACTTACAAGTTTTCCACCAAAATGCGCGTGGGAAAAAATTTGGAAAACTAGAGACATTTATCTTCGTTTGTCATTGCTTAAAGCAGTTGCAGGTTTTTCCACGAATACACACACATACATGCTTTTAAGTATTAGATATTAGATAATTATTGGATATATTAGTATTAGTATTGAGAAATTAAAATAATTTGAATAAAAATTTATATGATATCTTCATTTACCACGTGTGATTAAAGAAAGGTTATATAGAATAGTTTCTCCTTTTCAGTCATTCAATTCAAACATTGATCGAACTGAAATAAATAATAAAAAGGAAGAATTACAATGAGGTTTTAAAAAAAATAATTATAAAAATTTTTTTAAAAAAATATTATTTTTTATTTTGAAACCAGTCATTACAACTGTTTAGGTTATTATTATAATTTTTTAGTAATTTTTTTTTGGATTTGATTGTAATTTTTCCAATAATAAAGTATAATTATATGAACTTTGATCATATATGTATATCTTTTATATATTATAAAATAATTTGGAAGATTTGTGGTGTAAGATTTCAACTTTATTCCATAAACGAATCCTTTTATTATCTATGTAGCCATTTATGTTTTACGTATAGCATAGTAATATTTTTCATATCATTTGTCAAATTAAAGTAACTGATAAAGTTATTTTTTGGAGTAAGATTTCTTTCTCTTTTCTCTTGTTTAATTTTTCGCTATACGTGAGTATGATTTGAATCTTAAAATCATTTACCCAGAGGCTTCATCTTTTGAATTGTGTAATAATACTATTTTCAGTCTTTAATATAAGATCTCGTTTGATTTTTATGTTATTTTTAAATATAAGACTCCAATCCACTTTTTTATCATATTTATCCATTTTTCTTCAAGATTGTCCTTTGAATAATGATAGTTCTAACCAATAAACTTGATTAGCAAAGTTATTTTCAAAAAGTCAACACGTATCTTTTATAAATAACTAATTTAACTTAATTTTTTAATCTACTCAAATTAGTTACCTAACTCTTATATTCAAGACTGGAGGTAATACATTATTGTTCTTCAATTACTCTTTCTATCATAAAATCAATTGTTTGTTGTGATGTAATATTCGCCCTTTGGAGTTAGCAGTTTTCTTGGGTAAATCGATATAATACAATTCGTATTATGTGGCATTGTTTAAAAATTATTAGTAGAGTCACTCATTTATTCAATGTAATGATAGAGTCTTACTCCTCTTATTTTATTTATAAGTTATTTCTAACATATTTCATATAAATTAAGAAAAATTTTAAATTTCATTAACTCTAATTTAAAATTCAATAACTTTTTAACTTTATCCCTGTTTAATATATATTATATTTCATATAAACAAAGTTAACACAATAATAAATAAAAGATAAAATTGCACATTCACATAAAATGTTTATCTCTATGCTTTATAAATAGGATAAAAAAATATCTTCTCTCTTTGGCCTATAAATAAGACCAGAGGAATACTCAAATAAGCAAAGCAGAAACCTACACATAAATCACAAGAGCATAGTTCACTGAGTCTCATTGTGTTCTAGTTTTTGGAGATATATCATTATCTCTCTTTTAATTTCTTTCATTTTAATTTGTAGAGAGCTCATTCAGTAAAGGGATTATATTCTGTCAAATATAGAATATATATATATATATATATATGTATAAAGGAATTAGAGATATGTTTGCTTCCATAGTCGTTAATCAAAGTTATAATATTAACTTTTATGGATCTAATTTAATTCTTTTTATGGTCATTTATCATTAATCAATGTGGAAAATTTGACATATCTATTTTAATTACCCTCATCCAATGTCATGATTTTTTTTATACTTCACACAGGACGGAAATCACCAGATTCCAATTCCATTTATATTTATTGTTGAAAGTTACTACCTGGTATTTTTAATATAAGACTCAGTTAGCTAATTTGAAAAAATTAAAAAAACTTAAATAAATTATTTTAAAACAACATATTTATCTTTATTCTCTAAACTAATTTGCTTTACTTATAAACTGATATATAAATTACATAAGTATTTTAGAAAAATTATGTAACATGTGCTATAATTAAGTAATTTTTTTAGATTTTTTAATTTTCTCAAATTAATCAATTAAGTTTTATACGAAGGAGATCGTTTCTCCCATTTTTATCTCGACTTACAAGCGGCTCTGATGAGCGTATTTAAGGGAGAAAAGTTTTCAACCAAATATCAGTCACGTGGAAAATTAGAGACATTTGTTTAACGTTTTAGTCTTCTCAAGGTATTGATAAAAATTTTAAATATTTTGTCTTCCTAATTTAATTCCCAACTTATTTTGTAGGTCTAGATGTCTCTTTCTTGAGGGATGAGCATTCTAGCCACGACTTGGAAAACTTGGGCATATTATTTTCGTTGTCGTTGTCCGGTCTCAAATTATTGTGACCCCAAGTTTTACGAATATTATGGTCCCTTTGTAACTTATTTTATACTCCCTCCTTTCAAAATATAAAAAGCAGTTAAGGAATTAGTTTTGATCTTAAGTATAATATTCCAATCAATTTTATCTTTTTTACTTATCAATTTTTCAAAACCAATTTATCTAACTTATAAATTAATGTATAATCTAATATTTTACAAAAAGTGTTTTAGAGAAATTATGTCATATTTATTATAATTAACTAATTTATCTAGCTTTCTTAATGTATTCAATTTCCAAATTACTAACTCAGTCCTTAATATAAGAGCTAGTTGGAAATTGAATTTGACCCTAAATATAATACCTCAATCTGTTTTATCTTCTATTTTTTCCTCAAAATATCCTTATTGGTTGAATACGCATGATTAAAAAAGATAATTTGATAGACCAACACATAACTCTTAACTAATTTTCGTAATATATTTAAATTAACTATCTAGTTTTTATATTAAGAATTGGGGATAGTAGTTAAGTAGCTCAATCTGTAGGCCATAAGTTTTCCCCCAAAATGCAGCTATGTAAATGTGGAAAACAATATTTATCTTTGTTTGTCATTACTTAGGATCCGTTTGACACAAGAGAAATAGAGAGAAGCTGAGGAAAAATTTAATGAGCTTGATTTAAAAAATTGCGAAAGTGTGATTAAACTTTTATCTTAAATATTCTCTTTATTAAAACTTTATGACGCCACTTTTTTAATTTTATAAATCAAGTTTGTTAAATTTGTTCCTTCGCTCCCCTCCCTTCCATTCCCCTCATATCAGATGGTTAAAGTAATTGTAGGTTTTTCCATGCATCTTAATTTTAAGTGATATTATAATCCATTTCTAACTTGACTTAAAATTATTGGAGTCTATTTTTTTGTTGGGATGAGTATTATATGGGTAATATGGTTCGTATGTTTGTTTCCACAGGCGTACGTGTTAATTATGACCGTTTCACATGGCTTTAAAATTTTTTTTTTTAATATATTGTGATCTCTTTCTAAGGTACGTGTTGTGTAAGTGTGGAAATTGAATTTACTGGCTTTAGTTTTGTCATTGTTTAATCTTACGAATTTCTCACTACGCCTTGATTAATTTTTAAATATATTAATATGATATGATATACAATAAAAAATATGAAAATTATGGCATGACAAAAACCGTCAACTTTTAAGGTAATTTTAACGGCAGAAGAGTTGTGACCCACACATGAATCAGCGCCCTTAATTTAAACCTTTAAAGATTAGAGATGTGATCTACAAATGATTCAAATTTCGGGAAGAGTTTTGTGTATTTTAGTCTTTTTAGATTTATTTTTCTTTTTTTAATTGGAATTATTGTTATATTAATTATTTTTATTCTGTGAGCTACTAGTATAGCTAGTAGTAATAATTAATAAACTAGAGACACATGTTTAAGTTGTCATTAATAATATACGAAGTTATGACTTTTAACTTTGAGAGACATATAATCAAATAATTTTCAACTGGTTTTGTAATTATGGTGGTCTCACTTTGTCATTAATATAAAAGAGTTTTTTCAAAGGTAAAATTGGGGAAAAGTCCTCCATCGAAAAGTTTATTGATGAGAATAATCTAAATCAAAATACAAGTACCTTGTGTACACAAAAGTTGTACAGAACATATATATACTTATCAGATTTTCTCATCAATAAAATTTTCAATAAGGAATTCCCCCAATTTTCCTTTTAAACTTGGTAAAAATAGCCCATTGTTTTATTTATGATTTTTCTTGTAAAATTTAATCATTTTTTCTTTGTTATACTATCATGAGATTATATACAAGATACTTTGAGTTTCTGAATTAAAATATTTAGTATTAAATAACAATATAAGTAAAATAAATATGATATCTCAATTTTAACCTACGAAAAAAATATCTTCCCGATACATACATCAATTTGGAAAAACAGTATTACTATCATATGCGTGATATTGTGCTGGTGTCATAATGTGTTGCGTATTACTACTATGATATGCATAATATCTGAGGGACTTTGAGGAGCTTTGTGTACAGAGACAGCTTGGGATTTAGCGAGTGTTTCGTTGACATAGAAATATCTTCACATAATTCGAAATAAAATTCTTCTTACATATGTATTTTGTATAACATAAAATTATTTTTAAAATTATAATTTGGTTTCACTCAAACACACTAATTCCACTCTGAGTTAATGTTACCTTGGGCTTAGCCCTCTTTTATGCAAAAATAAAAAACTATGTACTACGTCATGTGAGTTACAGAACTGTGCTGAATTCATGGGTTTAACAAATCAAAATAAAAAAAAGAACGGTTAAAATTAAAGATTTAATTGAGAGGGAAAAAAACATACAGATATCAATTTAAAAAATTAAGAAAAAGTATAGATACTTGTAAAATAAAATTTCTTTTGTATTATATTATAATATAACTATACATCAAAGAGTTAAAAAAAACAAAAGAAAATGAAAATGAGCATGTGCTTATATAAAGAGTTTGACTAAGGATGATTTTCTGAACGATGCACTACAGAGGAGATTGTGATGTTGATAAAAAAGATCCCTGTCATTGATATTATTATTAAACATGAAAACAATACATACTAAACACGAATTAATTAATTAATTAATTAACAGTGTTGTTACAAATTCATCAGTTGAACTTAAAAAAAAAAAAACCGTCATCTTTGGGCTCATTATATTCATTGCCATTGTCTGACCTGCATATTGTGGCTTAGACTACTATATTATATATATATATATATATATGTATATATATGAGAATGATAAATTACAAAGTAGAATATGAACTTGAAAGAGATTAATAATCTTCGCACACACCATTGGGACACAACTAATGATGAAAATGAGATGCTCTGCTATTATTAAAGCACAATCGAGATCAGGATAATAAAACAATAGTTATCAAATACAAGATCATGAGCTGAACTTTAAAACAATACCAGCTTTTGATCATTTTCAATTGCGAATTATTATTTCCCATCATCACTTCAAACCTCACCTAGGCTGCTAGGAGAATCTGCAGAGATAGCGGATGATGTTTGGCTAGAACTGAAACTATCATCCATTAAAACCCTCTCATTAGGATATAGAGAAGGTTTTGGAGGCATTTCAAGACTTTCAACATCCTCGGTTTCTAACATTTCTATTACCTTATTCATTGAAGGGCGATCAATAGGTTTTAGTTGTATGCACCAAAGTGCTACTATAATCATTTTCCTTGCCAAATTCTTATCCACCTCTGTTAAATCTTCCATTTCTATGTCTTTCTCTTCATTGAATTGGTCATATATCCATAAAGGAAAGTAAGCTTCACTTGAATCTTCTGCATCTTGATTCATATTTCTTCTTCGACTTGCCATTTCCATCAAAAGCATTCCAAAGCTATAAACATCAGCCTTATAAGACACTCCTCCAATATTCTTGTAGAATAACTCAGGAGCCATATATCCTATTGTTCCTCTTGCTGCAGTCAAGGTGACAATACTATCATCAATTGCATACAATCTCGCTAGTCCAAAATCTGAAATCTTTGGAGTGAAGTCATCATCAAGAAGAATGTTATGAGGCTTGATATCAAAATGTAATATCTGCATGTCACAACCATGATGAAGGTAGGCAATCCCACGAGCTATCTCCAAAGATATCTCATATACTTTATGATAACTCAAGGAGATATTCCCTTTGGAAAAAATAACTTTATCCAAAGAACCATTCGACATAAACTCATAGAGAAGAGCACGCTTCGTTCCTTCTATACAAAACCCAACAAGATGTACCACATTGAAATGATGTATCCTACCAATAGTTGCAACTTCACTGATAAATTCTTGATCATTAGTTTTGGAGTCACCCAACATTTTGATAGCAACCATAGGTCCACTCCTTAGCTTCCCTTTATATACAGTGCCAAAGCCTCCTTGACCCAACTTATTCTTAAAACCTTCGCTCATTTTCTTCAAATCCTTGTAGGAATACCTTATTGGGATAAGATTTTGAAGTCTTATGAAATCTTCGATGTTTTCATACATTGATAAGTGTCTTCTGCGAAATATATAAATCAACAGTGTTGATAGGAATATGGTGCCCAAGAAAAATCTGACAGTGATGTATGGCACAAAACCTCTTCCAGTGATTATTCCTAATATGATTGCAACATTTGTTAGACTAAAATCATAGTCTTCATGGTGAGGGTCTATATCTTTCCCCACCACTTGGCTTAGTCCTGGACATGTAGAAGCAATGGAATTGATTAGGAACAAGAATACGATTACTTGGATAAAAGTAATGGAACTATATGAATCTAAGCTTAAATCAAGCTTAGTTGATCCTTCTGATTCAAAATATAGAATACTTTTAAGGATAAAGTTTTAATTCAGAATATAAGTTATCTACATAGTTATTAATTTTCACTTTGTTATTTCACCTCTATTTATTTATTGGCACATATTGAATATAAAAAGGATGATAGAGGTGAGAAGAATTTTAATAAAGAAGAATTAAAGTTATTTTTTTAATTTGAGACAGATTTAATGATTAACCACATCCTTCATTCCAGTAAAGTGATTAAAAATAACTTATATTTTGAATCGGAAAGATTATTTCTTTAAACTAAGACCTAATATAATTATGAAATTATCGTTGAAATATAATTAAAAAAAATCTCTTAAACTTTAAAATGTGACAAGATAGTAATTGAACACTAAATACTACTTTGGGGCATGCATCACCAAACAATTCTATTAAACTTTGAATTCTGACAAAATGCATGCCCGGAAGAGGATGTGGAGGCATGCGTCACAAAATTTTAAGGATATAGCAAAAGAAGAAAAGAAAGAAAAATCTACCAAAAGTAGAAAGATCACACATACTACCTCCGGTCCTAATCTATGAATGGGATCTTAGAATTATGACCGGATATAGTATATTTTAACTTGTTATAATTACCTATAGCTGTAGAAAGCTGGATAATTAATTACTCCAGTCAACGGAAAATAATTTCACTCTTGCGATTGGATCGATGCATTAATTTCTTATGTAGCCAAAGAGAAAATAATAAAAAATTATTTGAGGTGCTTTGTATATTGACAAAAAAGGTTATTAGAAGTGCGGGAATAGTATATCAGACTGTATGGACTTCGTCAAAAAAGCAAGGATAGAAAAAAAAAAAAAATCAAACAGAACACTTGATAAAATTATTGATAATGAGACCTTTTAGCTTACAATTTATAATCCACCAAAGTGGTTCAACTATATGAATGCTCTTCGATTCATGTTGTCCTAATAAATATGATTCTTGAAATTCATAGCATTGGAGGACAATATTGTCATGATATGGAGAAGTAAGGGCAAAATGGGAATGTGAATTTTGTTTTGGAGAAGAGGAAGTTACGTACAACTCAAAAGTCAAAATAAAATACATTTCAATAATATCCTTCACAACTAAATATATTTCACTTTTATCACTTTATTTTTCTATTCAATCTCTTAAAATGTCAATATATGTCACTATTCTCTTTCATTCCATTCATAAAAAGACTCATCATCATGATGTACTAGAAAAAGTTAAAGAAAAATATGGCACAAATTATAAGTTAAAAAAATAAATTAAAATTAAACACTAACCAAGAAAACAAATAATAATTAAATAGTAAGATTATGAAGAAACGAGCGAAACTTACCTTTTTGAATTCCATAGAGGTAATCTGAAAGAAAACATCACCAAAGTCAACACCGCAGGCGAGGCATAGATTTAAAAAAGGACTACAGAAAAGAAAGGTTAAACAGCAACGGTCAAATCACTAATTCATGGTCAAATGGTTGAACTATGGTCAGTGGTCAAACCAATTATAATTGAATTAATATTTGTTTCAACTATTTAATAACCATTAAGACTAAGTAAGAATATCAACAAAAATATAAAAAGTAATCAAGAAAGGAAAAAAGAAAAAACATGATAACCCTTACCTTCTGCCAATATGCGCAGCTTTGTTAACTGATCTGCATCACGCAAAAATAAAACATGATTTTAATTCAAAGCTCAGCGGGAGAATTATATGCATATAATTAAGGTACGTAAAGAGATAAGTAATTAATTTATAAATACTAAAAAATAATTAAACTTATTATTTATTAAAAATGTTTGTGGATTTCCATGAAATATTATATCATTTGTTTGGAATTATTTTTAATAAATACCCCTTTATACAATATTTGTGAATAAAGAAGAAAAAAATTATAAATTTAGAAGCATAATAAATTGATGTTTTATATTCAAGATGAAATTAAACTTATTAACTAATTTCTATATATATTTATGATTAGATGGAGTATTTAACAAATTAGTTTTGCTATTAATTAAAAAAATTAATACTTTTCTAGTATAAGACTTATTTAACTAATTTGATTAGATTAAAGAAGTTAGATAAGTTAGTTAATTATAAGAAATATAACATGTTTTTTTTTTAAACACTAAAATCATCTTATTTAATATTCTATCTCCTTTTTCTATTTGAATATAATTGAAAAGGTATTCATAAAAAAAATTTATAAAAAATTTATAAATGTTAAAAAATAATTTTTATATTTATAATTAAAATTAACCCAACGACTAGGTATTTTATTTCAAAAATTGTTAAATCTAAATTTAAAGCAGAAAGGAAAGTGGCTTACTGCATAAAATTCCGCTATGCACAGTTATTCCCATGGGACTGTAACAGGACGAGAAATCCCGTGCGCATTGGAGCCTGAGAGTTTCGCGGTTCAAAGAGCAGAAACTGGAAATGGGACAACTATGATCAACACAAGCTCGTTTCCACCACAAAACCTCGAATCCATTGGAAAGCACTCTGTGAATTTCGGCGTATGACTTGATTCCACCGCCTACCTGTGAATCCCAATCTAATGAAATGGTGGCCACCGATTTCACTCGACATTGAGGTTTTAACTCCTTAACCAGTAAATCTCCCGCTAATGCATACACATGACCTCCTCCTTTGGATTCCCAATTCACGCATGGAGATGTATCGAGGTATGATGTGTCATCCCTCACTGGATCGCTGCAGTTCAGGTACACAATGTGTTTGAATGAAACTTCTAATCCTATTCGCTTCAGATTTGCGCCGTAGGGATTAGTGCTATCGTATTCCATGTTTAAGAGGTAAGTTTCGGTGAAATTGGATTGGGATAAGGAATAGCGAGGGAGGGAGGAACAATTGCCCGCCTGAATGCCAGGATCTACGAGTCGGATTGTATAGTTGTTGTAGTTTATTGCCAGTACTCTGTATGTTCCGTTATACAAATGAACAAGAGTGACGTTGTTTTCGCAGGCTAGCTCGAATTTGGGGTCGCCGCAGTTGGCTGGGTCATCTCGCAGGCGAAATGGATATGAGATGTTTGTGATAATGCCGCACCGAGACGGAGGACAGGGTTTGTTCTGCTCTTGAGAACTCGTAACACCGAGCGTTAGAAGCAGACTGAACGAGGCCAAATACCAACACTTCAAGCCTTTCTTTCCCATCGTTGAGAATGATGTGCAGCTGCTCCACCTCTGGATTCTGATCATCTTCATTTAATCGTCTACTTTTCATAGCTCTATCCCTTTTCTTTTTTAATTTTTTAATATATATATTGAAGACTAAATCTCCTTTGACTTTTCTTGCTGCTGCAGGCGGCTAATTAATGAGTTTTCTTTACATCGATGATATTTGAAAATGACATGCAGCTACTTTTTACTTTTCTTCCGGCTTAACGCGGTTAATTTGTATACCTCCCCCAAAGTTGACATGAAATTTCTGTTTGACTGATGGCTTTTCTTAACATCCTTATTTGCCAGACTTTATTTTTGTCCGACTGATTATTTTTGCTTGCATCTTTCTTGGTCAGCTGGCAGGATACATAAATAGCACCAGAGCATACAATTTAGGAAAGCAAACACCTTCCAAGTTCCTTCCGCTTCCCCTGCTTTCATTTAATTAGACATGCCACTGCCTAATACATAGGAATCTGAATCCGAGTTTTTTCAAGAGAAAACAAACATCTTTTGTTACCATGATTTACTATCACAGATTTTTGTTGTTGGTGTTGCTTCTGAAACTGGGGAATGGTCAGAACCAGCATTTGCCTGATGATGAAATTGTTCCATTTCATCTCAAGGGGACGATGGTTGAGTTCCCGTCTATTCCTGCTCTAAAACGAGAAACCTTCGCCGTCAATAACATATACAACGAATCCCACTTCCTACACATGTCCTTACGTGATCCAAAACGTTGTCTTCCCAGACTCTTTCTAGAACGTCGTCTCTACAATTCATCCAATATTGGTCCTTTGGAGTATGATAATTTTAACGTGACCGAAAATGTTACTTTCTTCAACTGTTCTTCAATTGGTTCGAGACGCCTCAGAAACATAAATATGGAACAAGATATGATTGTCTGCCCCATTTTTGCTGCTTCCTCCGAAGATAGTGTCCTGGAGTGGGACCTAGCTTCTTGCACGATGATGTTTCAGCTAGCTTCGCCAATACGAGCAGATCAGCTTCGGGCGAACTACTTGCCACTCAGGTTGCCTCAGACAAAATCTGACATTGAAAAGCACAAAACTAGCATGATTCTTATAATTGTTTTACCAGGTGACTTTGCTTTCCCTCTATATTTTCTTTTTCTAATTTGTTTGTGGGACGTTCCTCTGATTGAATTTGGATGTTCAACTCTAGGGTCATTTGTACTGGTGGTGTTGTTCATTGTAAGCCTTTACATATATCGCCACTTCAAGAAGAGGGGGGAAGATCAAGTAAGATTGGAAAAGTTTTTGGAAGATTACAAGGCAATGAAGCCTACTAGATTCTCTTATGCTGATCTCAAAAGAATTACAAACCATTTCAAGGATAAAGTAGGTGAAGGAGCTCATGGAACTGTCTTTAAAGGTAAGCTATCTTCTGAAATTCAAGTGGCTGTAAAAGTACTTAACAATGCAGAAAACGATGGACAAGACTTCATTAATGAAATTGGGACTATGGGCAAAATCCATCACATCAATATTGTTCGTTTGCTAGGCTTTTGTGCTGATGGTTTTCACCGTGCTCTTGTATATGAGTTTTTCCCTAACGGTTCACTTCAGAAGTTCATATCTTCCCCTGACGACAAAGAAAATTTCATTGGATGGCTAAAGTTACAACAACTAGCCCTTGGCATAGCAAGAGGGATTGAGTACCTTCACCAAGGTTGTGATTATCGAATTCTTCACTTTGACATCAATCCTCATAATGTGTTATTAGATCATAATTTCATTCCTAAAATTTCTGATTTTGGTTTAGCCAAATTATGTTCTAAAAATCAAAGTACAGTGTCAATGACGGCAGCTAGAGGAACTTTAGGCTATATTGCACCTGAAGTTTACTCTCGAAACTTTGGGAATGTATCATATAAATCAGATGTTTATAGTTATGGAATGTTGCTGCTAGAGATGGTTGGGGGAAGAAAAAATGTTGACACAAATCAAGACACTTTTCAAGTTCTATACCCAGAATGGATTCATAATTTGATTGAAGGAGGAGATATAAATATCTATATGGAGGAAGATGATGATATTAGAATTGTAAAGAAACTAGCAACTGTGGGGCTTTGGTGTATTCAGTGGCATCCAATAAACCGGCCATCCATGAAAATGGTGATACAGATGTTGGAAGGAGAAGTAGATAAATTAAAGGTGCCTCCTACTCCATTTGGCACTGCTACTTCAATCAATACAAGAACCATTATTCCTGCAAGACATCTGAACTCTGAGTTGGAAGCGGTTCATGAATTAGAATAAACACATCACTTGCTGGTTTGCCAAACGCATGCTATTGCTGAGATCTTACTAGCAACTAGTAATTAGTTGTACCTTCTCTGTTCTTGAACCCGTGCGTAGTATTTTGATGGGATTTGTATTAATTTCGCAAAACTCATGCCTCCATTGACAACATTTGTAAGGTTCTCTTTCTTGGCCAGCAATTTTTGAGATCTGTAATGCTAGTCTTCATGTTCATTCTATAAATGAATCCTTTCATTTTCTATGCACCAATCTATTTATGTTTTCTATTTAAGATAATGATCTTTCACATAGCGTTGCCAAATTATTGTGGTGAATAACAGAATACAAAATAGTTTCTTGTTTATAGCAAGATTTAGAAACTCTACCCACACCTCATTCTACTTTTACCATCTAATTATCCTTATGTGGATTTGTTTATATCAAAAAATTTAAATCTAATATATTATGACATTCGTCCTCCAGAATGAAACAGGTTCCCTAAATATTTTTGAGCGACACCTTTTAAGAAACTTGAAAATTACTGTGTTTTAATGAAAAACTTGTTTGAGTTTTTTGCAGCTGCCTTTTTCATTCCTTAAAACGTCTTTCTTCAAATGTGTGACTAACTTGAACGACGACGCCATAGAATGAGAAGAGACAAAGTGTATTTTTCATATGCACAATCCTTAGGATAATAGTAGAAATATAATAAGAACGATGTTATATACATAAACATTAATTTCACCAGGAAAAGAATTCAAGTGCAGAAAGATGATGTTTTCTTAGGAGGAGAGCAAATTATAGGGGTTCCTAACATAGCAATCATCAATACATAAATATAAATCTTGAAGTCATTGAATATAAATATAAAACATTAAATCAATTTGAATATCAACATCAATCAATATAACAAAAAATGAAGTCACATTATTTTTTAAAAAAATATAAAAAAGTAAATGATGCTGCCCATATTCTTTTGTTGTCTCAAGACGGACAGTCTGGACATTGCCTTATATCCTTTGCTAAAGGAATACCTTGGTGTCTCACTTTCGAGCCTGTTAGTTAATCTACACGAAAGCTTTAAAAGGGGTTTCTTTTTGGCATCAAGTGGGAAATACTGCTGCTCAGATGAATCTGCCTTGTACTGTCATTGGTTATTTTAATGATATAAAAGGTGGGATTTCGCCTCAGCAATGCAGCGTGATCGTTAATTGACCGTTAACGAGGATTGAAGATTATTGGAGATTCATTCCTATAGTTATACATTCACTTGAAAAGGACCTTTGTTCAGGCAATGACCTTTTCTGAGAGTGTTGGCTTGCTCTGACCTTTTCAGAAAAGAGGTTGCTGGTCTTTTAGATTTGAAGCTGCTTGGCTTTGTCGATGATCAGTATGATCATTTCTTGAAGGAGAAAGGGAAGTAATGTGAGACAGAATTTAGAATACTTACAAGGAAACCTAGAACAGTTGAACAGAGAGTGTGTTTCAGAATGTTCATGGCAAGAACCAACGCCTGATCGCCAAAATGACTCCTTTGAGAATAGAGAAAGAGGAAATTAATTTGGTTTCAGAAAAGAATGTGGAAACCGAATATGGATTGGGAATAATGTTGCGAGAAAGAGTTCAAAGTGAAATAGTCATTGTACATATCACTTCTGGTCACCAACTAAATATATTGTCAAAAAATACAAATTAATAAGTTCTTTACAGAGTATTATTTCTGGTCGCTTCTTGCTTGCTCACCTAGATCGTAATGAGAACTTATGGAGAATGAAGATGTTGTTTGGTCAAAGTTGGGTCCGTCATCTTCAGGATATATTGAAGGCTTTGGAGGCATTTCAAGACTTTCAATATCATCTACTTCCAGCATCTTTATTACTTTGTTCGTTGAAGGGTGAGCAGCAGATTAAACTGGATGCATCATAACGCTACTGTGAACATTTTCTTTGCCAAAACCTTTTCCTCTTCTGTCAAATAATCCATTTCTATATCTTTCTCTTCGACAAATTGGTCATGAATCCATGATGGAAAATATACTTGGCTTGAATGCTCTACATGTGGATTCATGTTTCTTCTGCGGCTGGCCATTTCCATTAAGAGCATTCCAAAACCGTAAACATCAGCTTTATATGACACTTTCCCAATGTTCTTGTAGAATAATTCAGGAGCCATGTATCCTATTGTTCCTCTTGTTAGACTTAAAGTGGCAATACTATCATTGGTAAAATACAACCTTCCTAGTCCAAAATCCAAAATTTTTGGATTCAAGTTGTCATCAAGAAGAATATTATGAGGCTTGATATCAAAATGCAATATTTGCATGTCATAGCCATGATGAAGGTAGGCTCTCCCACAAGCCACTCCTAAAGAAATCTCATATATTTTGCAATAACTTAAAAAGACACTTCCTTCTTTAGGAAAAATATGTTTATCCAAAGATCCATTGGACATTAATTCATAAATAAGAGCATGTTTAGTTCCTTCCACACAAAAACTAACAAGACGTACCATATTGAAATGGTATATCCTTCCGATAGTTGCCACTTCATTGATAAATTCCTGGCCAGTAGCTTTGGATTTGCCCAGCATTTTGATTGCAACTCAGATCCACTCCTTAGCTTGCCTTTGTACACAGTGCCGAAGCCTCCTTCACCAATCTTCTTGTTGAAACCTTTGGTCACTGACTTTAATTCCTTGTAGGAGTACCTTATTGGATGAAGGTCATAAAGTCGTATGAAATCTTCAATGCTTTCATAGCCTGATAAGTGTCTTCTCCGATATGTGTAAATTAACAAGATGAACAGAAGTAATATACCAACTATAAATCTTAGAAGAGTGCATGGCAAAACATATCTTCCTGTGATTTTTCCTAAGGCAAATGCAACTGGTGTTGAAATCAAATCGCCATCATATTTACCCCCAGAATCAAAGTAAATCGTCGAATACACATCCGCTGCAACTGCACGTGTATATATTGAAATCTTAGAATAATGGGTGGCAAAACATATGCTGTGGCTTTTCCTAAGGCGAATGCAGCTGGTATTGAAATGAAATCGCCACCATCTTTTTCGCCAGACTCGGAGTCCATGATCGTCAAATAAACATCCTCTGCAACTGCACGTTTATATTTCCAAAAATTAAAGTTCGTAAAATTGGTTTGTCCCCAAAATGTGATTAACAAAAAAAAAAAAAGTCACTCAAAAGAAAATGTAAAAATTAGTCAAAACTTTCTGGTTGGAAACTTAATCGTGCAGACGCACCTGACATTTGTTTAAAGATCCAAAAGCGGCCTATTTTCACGGAGCACAATTCTTCTTCAGCTGTAGAGGTGCACCCACTCAAGGACCTGAGTCCTTAGGTGCCTTGCACATTTAATTTTCTAACCAGGTTTTTTTTTTTTACCAATTTTCAAAGAGAATTATTTTGTCAAATCAAAATCGATAGATGCATACACATATATATCAAACTCAAAGAAAGACACAATATTCATACGCGAGTTACAAACATATAGTACTGTCTCTATATAGTACTGTCTCTGATCCTAATTATAAGACCTCATGTGTAGTTTAAAAATGAGATCTCATAATTAAAATTGGAAGTAGTACAATTTATATATTAGAGATTATGTGAAACATGGACTCACAAAATAATTTAAGGAAAGTCTTTCTTTTTTTTGGGCAATAAGTATGCAGAATTTATTATTTATGATTAAAATACGATAACTAATACTCCTCCGGTCCTTAATATAGGACCCAATTGGTAAGTTGGTTTTGGTCCTAAATATAAGACCTATTTCTCATATTTATCAATTTTCTCTAAATTACCCCTATGAATACTCTTTCAACCATAATCTAGTAGAAGAGGAAAATGAGGTATTAAAAAAGATGATTATGGTATTTTAGGAAAAACGTGTCACATTTCTTATAATTAACTAATTTACCTAACTTCCTTAATCTAATCAAATTAGTTAAATGGGTCTTATATTAAGGACTGGAGGAGTATAACTTAATTTTTCATAATTATATGTAATACTCCCTCCATTCCTTATTATAAAAGACATTTGATGCTTATGGCATGTTTCTATATATAAGAGACACTTAAAAGTTGTCTCTACTTTTTTGTGTTGATTTTCTATTTTACCCATATTTATTATCTCCAACTCACACTCTCTCTCCTTCCCACTTCTCTTTCTTTTAATAATTTAATTGTTCTCTCTCATGCTCTCTCTCCTTATTAATAAGGGCATTTTTGGAAAAAAAATTATACTTTTTACACATTAATTGTTCTTAACTAATTTTAACTATTTTTTTGATTAACGTACTTCGGTTATTTGTCTCTTATAGTAAGGAACGGAGGGAGTATAACACACGGGCATATATATTCTGCCTGCTCAACTCATGAATGTATAGTTATAATGCATTTAATATCAAGACCATGTAAACTTTTTTCTTTGGTCAAAGAACTGTACAAGAATTCACGTGTTTTTTTTTTTTAAAGAAAAACTTTAAGAACAGGTATGGTTATAATGCATTTATTTTCACAATATAACACTGAATTGAGGTAAAAAAACACACGCGCATATTAGAAAATAAGGCTTGGCTATCATGTATTCTCCTTAATTTGTTTATAAATAAATGATATCATGTGTTTTTTATAAGCAGGTTTGGAGGAAGTATAATACATACTTATCAATTTACCTATAAAAATTATATAAATCTTATATTTTTTAATAAAAAAATAAACAAGAATATATGATAGTTGAGGAAGTTACGCTCATGAAGAGCCTTAGAAGATGGCAAACCTGCAAGAAACAATTCACAATGTCAACGGTGACACTAGCGGAAGGACAAGTACGGAAATACCCCACGGCCTCCCCCAACCATGGAGGGAGATTATCACGTCATGCTTTCTTATAGTCATGAAATATTATAGTAGTTTTATATTTTTTTTAACAATTTTTTTAAAAGATAAATTAAAACTGCACAATTTGAACTATTTTCTCTAAAAACAAGTCATTGAAAAAAATAAAAATTGCATGACTTCGTGATTACACTACACTTTACCAAAATTTATTTTAGTTTATCTAGAAATTAATTATCAAAAATTAGAAAGAATGGGCATTACAAGAAGCGTCAAGTAAGTAGTATTGAAAATCAAACTTACCAATTAACCAGTTGAGACAATGGTTCAAGGTGAGTGATATAAATCAAAGTCAATTTAATGTTAAATCAGTCATTTAAAACAGTATAATTTAATTAAGGGTTAAGGTACAAATTTACACTGAAAGTTTTTACTAAGGAGGGCTGGGCACATGAAAGTTTTTTTTCTTTTAATGCAAATTTACTCCTAAAGTTTAAAATCGTAGTAATTTTGTCCATTACTGTTAGAAAACTATTGTTAACCGTTAAAATGGTGACATTCATTGTTAATATTTTTAACGTCAGGGACAAAAATGTGATTTGTAACTTTCATGGTAATTTTGTATCTAAAAATAACTTTTAAGTGTCCAGCATTTTTGAGTAAAAACTTTCAAGGTTACACCTTAACTTATTTAGTTAAAATATATAAAAATATTTATATATAACTTTGAAAAATGTAATATTTAAATAAAAGGCATTAATTCACAAATAAATGGAGCATTCATATATAAATCTTGCATAGTCCACCAAAAGGGTTAGCAAAACACAAATGTGATGGACTATTCTTTTTTAAAAAAAAAAACTCAAAACAATGCTGTTTTAAGCTTAATCATGAAAGGAAAAAAAAAAAGAAAAGAAAATCCAACACGGTCAATCAATTCAAAACTCTTAATCAGACTTGTTAGAAAATTGGTTAATTTACTAGTTTACTAGTCTGGCCTACCAAATCGGGTTGGGTTTTCATCTACAAACCTACGACAATACATCTTACTCTTGGAAAATTCACTCTACTTTAGGGATATCCAAGGTGTGACTCATTATAAAATCACATGGACTAATAAGGCACCTAGATATTAGATGTTAAAGCTTACAACGCTAGGTGCTGTTTCCATTGGTTTAAAATAAGTGTTTTTGCATTTTACAACATAAAATTCCTCACATATTTATTTTCTAAAACGCAAAATCATTCCTCCAGGTCTAATCTAAACGGGCACGATGGACCTAAAAGTATGTTAAAACATTAACATTATATAGACCAAAATAAGTCCTAGCTATTATTTTAATTTTTCTTAACTTACTTGTATAAATTAAAATAAAAAAAAAAAGTAAAAGAGTAAAGTGGATTATATAATATGATTTCGAGACATTACCTGCAAGAATGCCAGAGAGAAATGCTGCAAAGGGAATTTTGCGGAAGGCAAATGAGAAAGAAAGTGATGCTCCTCGCTATTGTTATCAAAGTACTAAAAATCAAAACAGTTACTAAATCGGTTAAAATAGTATGTTAAAAGTCAATGAGTCAGAACCCTGATGATTAGATCATCTAACTAGGACTATTCTAGCTTAACCGCAGGTCTTGTGTTCGAGACGTGAGAATGCAGCATCTTAGGGGCTAGAGGCACGCCAACCTTGATGATTCCTGTCATGTCTCGATCCGGATTAGTCTGGGGCTGTTGATGTGCCATAAAGGTGGCCTACCCCAGGACACCGGATGCGAAAGCAAAAAAAAAAAAAAAGAGTAGTGAGTCAAACCGGAGTCAATGCAAGGAGTCAAACCAGTGAGAAATAAAAACAATAAAAAATAATTTAAATTTTTATTCAGAACTAAATGTCAATTTAGTACTTTGAATCACTGATAAAATAATCACATATTTAGAATTTCTTTCCAACTTTTTTGCAATTTCTTTGACAAATTAAAATCATAATATCATACTACTAAAATCATTAAATATTCATCCCATCAAAATATCAAAATAAATATATGATAACAAAATAGTTCTTGCTATAGTCGTTCAATCACTAAGTCCTAATTATGAACAACTTAAAAAAATCATCAAAATAGTTTTCTTATTGAAAAGAAAAAAAAAAGAAAGCAAACCTGGTTAACCTATCAACCTGGTCAAATTATTACCTCAAGTTGATCCAAATCATGTTAGGTCAATTCAACTTTAGTTTCTATCCTTAACTTGACTGGTTATTAAGCCAGTTCACCGATTTTTGGGTTGAATTGGCCAATCCGGTCCGAGTTTTAATATCATGATCATTACAATTCAGATAAAATGAATATTACCTTGTATACAATCAGTCAACATCTTGAGTTTTTAGATGCTTTTGGATAATAAATTTTGCAATAAGAATTTTTCAGCATTTTTTACATATAAATGTGTGTATTATTCTTAAGAAAACATTAGAACCCAAGACGTGATTACATAAGAAAAAAGCATGTTCAAATAATTTTTGAAAAATAAGTGAAAATAAAAAAATAGTAAAGATTAATTATAGTTATAAAGTATAACACGAGGGGGGAAGTTAAAAAAAAGAAAAGAAAAGAATCTAGAAATATGATAATAAATCCTACTCTGATTATAATTATAAAGCATAACACGAGGGGGAAAAGTTTAAAAAAAACAAACAAACAAAAGAATCTATAAATATGAAAATAAATCCTACTCCCTCTAGTTTCATATGTAAGGAAGATTTTAAAAAAAATTGGTTAAAGACATGTGAAGTTCTTACTTTTGTCCCATAATAAAAATTATTTTCCAATGATATCCCCTTATCTAATTCCCACCTTACATACATATGACAAATAAAGAGGTGCTTCATTAAAAAAAAAAAGATTAGAACGTTATAATTAATGCTTCCCTCCCTCCTGATTATAAAGACTTGTAATATGTTTTTTAATATAACATTTTTTTCTTAAAATAACAATTTTTTCCATTTATCATCATTAACAAACTATAAACTTCTACTTTATTAAATAAGCTAGTTTTAACTATTTTTTTTAATTTCCTTAAAGTTGTTAATAAGTATTGCCCACGATTTATAATATAAGAGTTAGTTGAATATTGTATTTAGTCCTCAATATAAAACCTTAAACTACTTTGTCTCCTAAATTATAATATTTTTTTCAAAATATTCTTATTAATCGTACATGGTAGGGGTCGTCAATCTGGTCTCTAAGTTGCTCCATCCTTATTTCAGAAAACCATGACAAAAATATTTGAGCCCATCCTTGACAGTGCTTTGGTCTATGTGGATAATATTCTTCTATTTTCTAAAGATAAGGATCCTCACAAAAAAAACTATTGGCCCAATTTGCTGATATTGTGCACTAATATGGCATTATGCTTTCTTCCAAAAAAGGTCTTATAGCCCAAGCCCAAATTGAATTTCTTGGAGCAATATTTCATAATGATATTTTATCAACCTCATCTGCATATTGCATAGAATTACTCAATTTTCCAGACGACAACTTGTCGGCAAAGCAAATTCAACAATTCTTGGGCATAATTAATTATGTTTATGACTTTATTCCTGATGTAACCAGACACACAAGCCACTTGTCTAAGCTTTTTAAAAAGAATCCTATCCCTTAGGGAAAAGATCAGACTACCGCAGTCAAAAAGCTTAAGGAGATAACGTAACATCCTCCGCCACTACAGACTGATGCTATTGATTATTATTGGAGTGCAGTCCTTCTTGAAGAAGTTAATGGCAAAAGACATTACTGTGGATATGCAAATGAACAATTCAAAGAATTAGAAAAGCACTATCACACCACCTCCAAGAAAATTCTACCTGTAAAAAGAGGAAATTGAAAAATTCAATTTTCATCTTAGTCCTTTCAACTTTATTTTTAAAATGGATAATACTTCATTTCCCTCCATGCTTGAAACAAAAAAAAAAAAAAGACACTTCTAGATGCACAACTGCTTAGGTAGAAAGACTGGTCCTCCGCTATAAATTCATAGTTAAGCACATCAAGGGATGCCACGACACACTTGTTGATTATCTCTCCAGACCCCCTATAGTTCAATTTCTCACACCCAGAAAATCCCTCAGCATTCTTAGCCCCATGAATCCTTCACCACTCTACACATATCAAACATATCTGAATCCCATCCAAGGATGCCTTACAGAGTCAGATCCACCATCTTTCCTCTAGTGTCACGACTTGAAACACCCATTGATGTTATCAACCTCGCCACATAAACTTTGTTCTATTGGCTCCTCCTGTTGTTTGTTCTCACTGGAATCTAGCCTTATCCCTAACACTTTGACCTAGACACTCCTTACCTCACCATCCCTATTATCAAATGTTCAATTCCAGAAGAGCTATTATGTTACCTTTGGGCTCTTTCAGCCATCCATACCTATGCCATAGCCTTCCCAGCCTCATCCATTTACCATTATCTTTGTGATTCTAGGAACCACAATTCCCATCGCATCTACCCTATTGGAGAGAAAAACTCTACAATCTTCTCAATAAGCATAATATTTGGACCACACCACGACCAAAACAACACTTTTCAGGCACTATGAAAGAGACACTAATGGAAGTGTCCACAAAGATAACTGCCTGAATTTTTGGAACACCTTTGTTTTTTGGCCTAAATATGAGACTAAAATAATGAAGAAATTGGGACAAACTTTAACTGCACTAAATGAACCAGACACTAGTGAAGACTCTGCAGGTCTCCCTCTTGGACTTTTTCCTCCCAATTCTCCACAGCAGTCTGCTACAAGTTCATCAACAACTCCCACATTGCAATAATTCTAAAGAAATTTTATCCTACAAGCCATCACTCCTCCAATCCTCGTAGGAGAATCCCAGGATCCTTATCAACTAGAGTCACAGCCCTTCCAGCTCACTCAACTGGAAGGTCTCCAAATTCCTCACCCAGAATTACTGCCTGACAAGTTCCAGAGGAAGAATACAAAACTGATGAAGAATACAAAAGTGACTGCTCAGAATGCATCAATTATGTTGAGGATTTCATTGATCTCACTAATGAGGAATATAGGCTCCTCAAGGATTAGCCTTATCTGTTTGGAATCTACTTTATTTCCTTCTTTATGTATGAGTGTGATATTTGCTGCCTTTTGCTTTATCAGCTTTAATTTTGCTTTTGTCAGGAATCTTTACTTTTATAAAGTAGGGTTGCATCATTGAATCTGCAATAATTCAAGTTTGTCGTCTAGTCAATCCAAGAGTCTATATAAGGACACCTCTAGTTTTTTAAAGGGGCATCAAGCATTGTAATATCGAGTGTTGAATGAAAGTATGTTTTCCATAACATCTCTCTAAACTCTTTCTCTGTCTGAAAACGTGTTCTATCTGATCTAAAGATTCAAGGATGCTCTACACTTACCTCTTTTAAGATCCTATGTATCAAAAAGAATCCAACCATGACCTCACAGATGATCTCTTTTGATTGAAGAGTTTTTAGTCCAGAGTTTTACAGGTTGAGGTCCTAATGATGTCTCTGTAAGGCTTGGAGTGCTGTTTGTTAAAACCTTGACATGGTAAGACTTGTAAATCTCTAAACTGAGTTTCAAAGATTTGATGATACTCACTCTTTGTGAATATCAGCGTAGGATAATATTCCATCTAGTAACAATGACTCCCAGTTGCCGGTAATGCATATGACAATGGCCACCAATTTCACAGAAAGGGATATGCTAATATGAAAAACTTGCAAATAACACCTAATTGTGAATTAGCACATATAAATTTTAAAATATAACAAACCATCTCTTAAACTTCATCTACTTTCCTGAATTGGGTCAGCTATATATCATCTCTTGAACATTTAGGGTTTGTTTGGGATAGTATTCAAAAATATTTATAAGTATGTTTCACATAAATCAAGATAAAATTTTTCTCACATGTTTACCTTATATTTTATAAATCACAATTGAAAAGGTATTTATAAACTATGCCAAACAGGCCCTTAAAAGGACCCTTATTTTCATGTTTGATTTTGGCCATTAACTCCCATTAAAATTGCTTTAAAGTTAATAGTTTTTACTGTGTCCAAATTTTTATTTTTTTATTATATACTATTTCATTTAAAAACAACACTTTGAATTATCACGTAATTGTAAGCATTTTTTTAAATACTTTAAAACTATATTAAATATTTATTTGACCACATCCTCTTTTAAATAAAAAAGTATAAAATATTTAAAAGTGTGTGCCACATTCTATTTTTAAATGAAATGGCATAAAATTTAAAAAAAAAGGAAAATTTTGACATGGTAGAACTGCTAATTTATTTTAACGGTAAAAGAGTTGATAATCAAAATATAAAATATTAAGGGCTTTAAATTTTTAGGCACTGTTTGGTATGAAAGAAACAGAGGGGAGGAGAGGGGAAGAAAAATTTTTAAAAACTCTATTTTAAAAATTACAGAAGTGGGGTTTTCCTCCCTTCCCTCCATTTTTCTCATACCAAATGGACCCTCAGATTACGAAGATGATGCAGCTAACTCAAAATGCAGCAAGTTTTTTGTATTTTAATTAACCTAAACTCTAATGACAAAATTAAACATTCAGAAAAAAGTAGTTTTTGCAGCTTCCCTCCAACGATTTGTCATTTGTGGATCTATCCATGAGTGTGGGCCTGAGAAACTAACACCTCACGGTACATGTGTTTTGGGCTGGTGTTATGCCCCAAAC